TCGCCTAACTTCCACCGACATCCCCCTCCCCTCCCTTCCCCTTCCCCCCTTCCCTCCTGTCCCCCCCCCTCCCCCTCCATCTCCTCTGCCCTCTTCTCCTCTCTCGCCCTCCTCTCCTCTCCCCTCACATGCTGCGCAGCTCCGAGATGCGTCTCGCTCATCACGGCAGAGCAGAGGCCCGTGTGCATGCTCGTTATGGTCATGGCCAGGGACTGTTGTCTCCCTTACTTCCTCCTCCTCGCATGTCTCCCCTCCTCTACCTGCGACAGCGACGTGAAACTCGTCGCCCTGTGCTCCTCTGCCGCTGCCATGAAAACTTTCGACCGCTGGAAGAGCGCCTGCAAGATGCTCAGGGTCTCTCATTCTCCCTCTGTCTCTCTTCCCCACTCCCCGTCGCTCTCCCTCTCTGCCCACTTCTCTCCTCCTGTCTCGCCCTTACATGGATGGTCACAGCTGCAGCCATGCGCGTCCTCGGGGAAGGGTCGAGCGCTACGGCAGAGAGGAGCGAGCTCTGTCGACTGCCCGCGTCTGTCGAGGAGGTCAGGAGGAGGGAAAGGAGAGGCAGGGTTTACGAGGAAGCAGCATCGGCCACAGAGGATGAAAAATCTTAGGCTGCATCCTCGCGAGACCCTGAAAACCTCCGTCAAGCACTCGCTCCTCCTTCCTCCCCCCTGCCTCTTGTTCGATCCTCGCCTCTTGTCGTCATCATCTTTCCCCCTCTTCTTCTTCTTTCTCGCTCTCTTTCTCTCATCCCAGCCCCCCCCTTCGTCCTCCTCAACCATCACCTGGATGGCCAGGATGGAGTACAATCTCACTTTCCCTGCCGTCTTGCAAGCGTTGACTATCATGGGACGAGCGAGTTGGTCGGCGGTCGAGTCATCCGTGTTGCCTCCCATGCTGTTGGTCGCGCTCCTATAGGAGGCGTCGCTATCGGATCCTTCCTCCCCCACCCCTTCCTTCTCCCCTTGGCTCGACTCCCGCAGGCTTCTGTAGGCAGAGGACTCGCGCAGAAAGATTTTCACAAGAATCTCTGCGAGCTGTGGAAGAAATCTCCCGCTGAGGAGGAAGATGCAAATCGATCAGTCCTCCTCCTCCTCCTCCTCCTCCCCGTCCCTCCACTTCCTCTTCCTCCTCCTCCACCAACTTCTCCTCCTCCTCACCCTCTTCTCTTCCTTCCCTATAGTCCCTCCCCACCTGCTCATCGCAGAAAGTTTTGTGCAGATCTTGGAGGCGGAGGAGCTCGACGTGGTGACCTTGACAACTCTCAGCTGACGTCATCACCTCTCGCTCCCTCACCTCCAACAACATGATCTGCAACGTCCGCAAACAGCTGGCGACCAGCTGCGCTGCCTCCTCCGACAGCCCCTCCGAGCTCGAGGCCTCCACCTTCTCCAGCACCCTCATGGCAAGCTCAAGGTTGACGGCGATCATCATGAACATCTGTGGGTGGGTGACTTCACATCCCTCCTCTTCGGAGTTGTTGTCATGCTTGCCTCCTGTGGCACATCCTCCAGGAGCTTCCCTTGGCCCATCACCGCGCTGAGCGAAGAAGTCAAGGAGAAAGAGTGAGGCAGGAGACAACAGGGAGGGACGTATGAGTCAAGGAGGAGGGTGTTGGATGAAAGATCCTGACTGAGGGGGTGTGGGATCGATGGAGGGAGGGAGGGAGGGAGGGAGGGAGGATGGATGGATGGATGGATGGAGGGAGGGAGCATGTGGATCAGGGAATAGGATGAAGTGAGCAGAGGAGAAAGAGAGCAGTGCAGATCAAGCAGACGGAAGAGGGAGAGGGAGGGGTATTGAACAAACCTTCCAACCAAGGCTAGAGCTGCGCTGCGAACTTGAAAGTCCTCTATCTCCTGCCCTTGGTGATCAGATGGAAGCAGATCGAGAAGGGGAAGGGGGTGGGGTGAAATGGGGAAGAGGAGAGGAAGGGAAGGGGATGGAGAAGGGAAAGGGAAAGGGAAAGAGATAGGGGAAAGGGGGAACGGATTTTGTCACTTTGCTCGCAATCTTCTCCAACATCAGCATAACATCGTTGATGACGACAGAGAAGAAGCCGCTGCAAGCTAGTTTAGCAACCCTTGAACCCCTGTATGCAACTCAACCTGTTCGGCTCAGTCTGGTTGTAGACAACAGATTCCAAAGTCTTGAGGATTTCGATGAGGTATATCCTAGTTGCTGCTATCACGTCGTGTTATCTGCAGAGTCATTCGCAGGAACATCAAATATCACCAGAACTCGCAGACGATACTTCTCGGAGCAGAGAAAGTAGAGGCGGCAGAACCTAAAGGTCAACTCAAGAAAGCATCCTCAGAATTTTTCATCGGAGATTACCTTCCTGTACCAGTCTCTATCGACTAGATCTCGCTTATGAAACCTGAAATACCGAAAAATCACATCTGAGTTCTGTCACTCAGCCACGAGACCAAACACCGTTAAGTTACACATGCAGGCAGGCAGGCAGACAGACAGATTCTTACAGCAGGTTCTGCACAGCTATCAAGAAAAGCTTTCGTCTTGGGAAATGTTGACTGAAGTCACTCGTAGGGTTCTTGACGACTTCTTCGATCCCACTGTCAATCCATTCCTTCGCCTCCCTTGCCTCCGTCGCATCGAACTCTGAAAATTTCGTCTCTCCCACCATCGTGAGCGCTGGCACCGCCTCCTCCTCGCTCATACTCTGCCAGTCCCTCGCTCTTGCGAGAAACTGAGCCACGGACTGCCCATCACGGCGAGAGTTTTCTGGTCCTTCACCGTCACCATCATCGTTGGCTCTCCTCGGCTTTCCTCTGCCCCGATGCCTCCGATGCCGCGAGCTCCTTGTGCTATCCATGTTGTTCCCCCCAGGACGCGGGCCCTCAAAGATTTCTAGCTGCTCACATAGTCCCCAGCGACCTGCCCAGCATCATCACCTGCCCCTCTCTCTGTGCCTCCAAACACTCTCCCTTTCCGTCTTGGCGTCCTCCCCTTTGCCCTCTCAAGTACCCTCGCTCTCAACATTCACTCGCACCCTTGCCCCAAATCATGTTGTCCTGAATATCCGCCCCCTCACTCTCCCCCCTGATGTAGACCTGCCGCCCTTCTCCTCCCTCCAAGAATTGAATCCCCTGGGATGAGTAAATTGGAATGTGTACCCCATCCCCTCCCCCCTACAGCTGCTCTGGGGAGAAGTTGCCATAACTGTGCACCTGGCTATGAACGCGCTTGTGTCCTCTTCCTCCCACAGAATAAACCATATTCCAAAAGCTTGACACCTCCTCTAAACCAGCTTAGGTCCCATATGGCTAGACGGGACGACTTGACGACACGTATTGAAGGCGGTGAGTTCCGGCGAGGGATCTCACATCGCTTATGTGAAGAAGGCTAAAAGTGGATTGCACTCAATGCTGCAATATCATGACTATGCCTACATGTTCCGCAGGGTAGACAAGAACTCCTGAGTTCTCAGAGGCTGTTATCGAGCCGGAAACCCAATCTCCGACTACTCCTCCTGCATCTATAAATCCAAACAATGTCAAATATGCCGGGATGACATTGAAGAACAGAAGGGGAAAA